GTCTCAGCGAGAAATTGGCAGGAAACGTGAACTCAGCACAAATGTACCTGCTTTACTGATGCTGTTCTGGTGACCCATCTAAACTGAGACTACTCCCTGAGGAGATAGCACTGATGGCTGGCAGTTGTAGSAATAAGGTGACCAAAGCAGGATTTTCTTCTTCCAGGAAGACCTTATGTGAATCCTAATGCTACAATGGCACAAGGAATGTTCTGCTATGTGCTGTAGGAAACTGAAACTCTTTACACAGGAGTAATACAAAACAGGGAAAACAAAATGTGTTTCTTGCCTCAAACCAATTATTTGTCCTGTCAGAATTCCCCCAGTCAGAAAGATGGAAGTCCCCATGGCCAAGCCACCTCTTAGATGTTTTGGGGCAACCTCCCCAATATAAAGAGGYTGCACACAGAACCCAATACCTGCAAATAAATGGAAAAACATTTTCCCATCAATAGAAATTGCTTTGCAAAGAGTTRCTAAACCAAAATATATAGGAAATGSGACTTMATTAATTTCCTATTAATTTAGCTTCCTTCAGATTGCAAGCTAAACTACAGAACATTTTCATCATAAACATATCATAAAACCTAAAGGATCAGAAGTAACAATAATTTATCATTCACTGTAGTTTATTGACAGTAGGAATAAGAAATCATTCACCTGAATTTATGCCAATCAAAAACCTTCCAGCAATCAGTAACTCAAACAATCCTGTAGGAAAACTGATTCCCATTAAAATGGAGGCTAGTATTGCTATAACATTATTCATCAAAAGTGCTCCTTTCCTAAAGAGGAGGAACAAAATAATAATAAAAATAATATTAATAATAAACAACCGAACAAAACTCCCATCAAAACCAAAAACAACCCACCCCAAGCAGCCATTAAGGAAATCTGCATTAATGTATTATTTTTTAAACAGTTCTCCTTTCTGATAATGTGGGGAGAAAAATGGGCTTTATAATGAAGCAACATGCTATTCCCTGCAAACCCTGTATCTGATGCAATTGCTTATGTTTTTAGAAATATCTAAACATAAGAATAAAGCATAAATATGATAGAAATGCCTGACAAGGGAGTGGTGTTTGTCCACACATGAAGTGCAACAGATGAAGCAGCATGTCCTTACTGGCACAAGGGCTGCAATGTGTCAGGGGAACTCATGTTTCCACCACACTCTCTGCATTCTCCTACTCAGATTTCAGTAAATGTAATGGAAAGACTAAAGTCAAAGGTCATAATTCAGGATTCATTCTTGAAAGTCACATTGGAATACACTGTAAAATTCTACCAGAAAACTCAGATTTAAAGTGAAAAAACATGTATAGGCACCCAAGGCACTCCTTTCTTTCAGTCTTTTTCCATTTATTTACTTTATATTCCAGAGGGAGGGTAGGGAAATAAAACATGCCTGCTGACCTGCCCAGCCGTATTGCCATGCTGCCTCCAATCAGGGCTCCACACAGGCCTCCAAGGGAAAAGATAGAAGCAATGACAGACCAAAGAAAAGTCAGCAAATCTGGATTTAGTTCCTTGTGATAACGACTAGTCCAGGTTTCATTTAGGAACTTGTGTATATGCTGCAGTAGAAAAGAGTGATGAATGTGTAGCATTTTATACAGCCCTGCAGCACAGMGCTACAAATAACTTGCACCCCAATCCTGAAAAATAAGTCTTGGAGTTAACAAGAGAATCCTGGAGGCCATAGCAAAGAATGCACAAGCAACAAGTGAAAATACCTAGGAGTTACTCAGCCACTACACATGCTACTTTTTAATTCTCTACAATTTTTTACAGTAAATTGCTTTATGATGGACAACTGTAACTAGTAACAATCCTTTCTTCCTGTTATCCACTTATAGAAAGAATGGGAATGGCTCAAAGTTGTGTCAGGGGAGGTTTAAACTTGACATTAGGAGAAACARTGGTGATATCCTACAGAAAGGGTACTCAAACTGAGTGGCTTCCTAGACAAGTGGTGGATGCTCCAAGGGCATTTAGACAATGACGTTAGTAACATGCTAAAACTTCTGCTCAACCCTGAAGTGGTCAGGCAGTTGGACTAGATGGTCATTGTAGGTCCCTTTCAACTGAAAGTCTTCTGTTCTATTCTATCCATTCTGGGTTGTTTTAGTAACTGAAAATTATTCAGTTAATCCTAAAACAAAAATAAAAGTATTTATGTGGCCTATTTGGCACTTTGACACAGAATACCTCTAATGGGAGGTAYTCACTAACAAATTCACATGAAGCCATGTGGGAAATTAAGAAGAAAACTGCTTTACTTCCCACTGCAATCACAGCAAAAGCACATTTGGCCTCCTGGCTGAGTTCAGAAAGGAAACAGCCCAGTGAACAAAAGATGAGCTTTTACCTGCGTGGGTGCATTGATAATAGAGACATTATACCCATATTGAAAGGTCCCTCCAATTCCAACAGCACAAACAGCCAGGAACAATGTCCAGCTGGGGAGCTAGGGAACAAAAGAAAGTAATGGGCATGAAAAGAGGTAGGACCTTGAGCCCACACACATGTAATATCTAAAAGAAAATTATGGTGAAATACATCATGTATTTCATTTGGAACAGTGAAAGTATGTATTTAAAAAACTGCAAGAACTCCCAAACACCTGAAGCAGGAGAACATTTCAGGCTGGCTTTGGCTGTGATCATTCAGAGACTGTACATATTTCTTTCAATAAACTTGTACTCCCTGAATTCCTCATTGTAAGGTATGTAGACTAAATCTTCATCATTCTCATTCTTGGTCCAGTTCCCAGAAAGGCTGAGTTATTCCAGATACCATACTGTATTCTGAAAGAGCTGTGTCCACCCTAAAGATAATTCATCAAAACTTGGTTCCTTCCTTCAGGACTGAAATTTGCAAGTTGAAATGGATCATATTAAAGTAAAATCCAATTAACATTTCCTTATGGTTTCCAAGAATAAAAAGTGTTTCTCTAGAATGTCAACCAAGACAATGAATAAGGAGCACTAAATAAGGGCTGCAGTGAGTATGGCAGAAAAAATAACACTTGATGTGGTAAATACTGGCACTCAGGCCCTATATTAACCAAGCACCGTAAACCTATTCTGTGTATCTTATGGATACAAGCTAGAATCCAGAAAAGACAGAAAATAACCCAAAATTGTTAACATACATTACACAACTTAGGTTTTGTTATGACAGATCTTTTGTTCTTCCTGCCCAAATCAGCTGGCTCGTGACACTGACATGCTGTCTCACATTGGAGTTTGGGCCCTGATTTCTTGGAGAGAGTTCAGATAACATCCTCATGTGTTCTGTCAGCTACTGAACTCCTGACAGTTTAGAAGTGCATTCACCTCRTCTCGGAAACTCAACACAAACAAAATTCAATTTGTATTCAATGTAAAACATGAGAATTAGCTGCTTTTATAAGCTTCCAATTTCTAATACAGCTAGGCATCCAAGGAAAGCACAAAACTTTGAGTCTAATAACTTCATATATTTCTATTTAAAAGCTAACATGAAATATCTGCACATTTTACATTTGGACTTAATTGCTAAAACTAAGAACTAACTCCCTGCAAGATCCACCTTCAGAGGCCAGGACGGTTCTGCTTACCTTGCAGGGCGAGCTAGACCCTCTGAGCAGGGGCTGGTGCTCCGTTCTGAGCATGGGCTGAATTGCAAAATTTAGTAAACTACGTTACAGGAAAAAAAAGGTGCCAAAGAACTCAAGTTACTAATGTACTAATACATAGATTTTTCTTTTCTGTTTTTTTTCCCGCCCATGGGGACTCTCATCAACGACTCAGAACTTTTTTGTGACAGGAATGTCCAACTTTGATAAAGCCTCACAGCAGCCTCACGGAGTTTTCCCACCACTAACACTGTGTACATGCACTGTCCTTGTCTAACTCTGCGCAGAACCCGCACCCGCAGCCTCCCACAACTAAAGACAAGGACGGGTGGTTACCGTGTGCCTGGGAGCCATCCCTTCCTCCTGCTGACAGGAGCTCAACTCGGCTCGCCACCTCCCCTTGGCCTCCTGAGCTCCTCAGCTGACCAGGATTTGGCTGTGGGGACGTGTCCGCCCCGCCACGGGGATTAGGCTGGGCCAAGAGAGGGGTTGTCTCAGCCCTCCTCGAAAAGAGGCCTGGAAATAAAACTCTACAGACCAGTGTCTATAGGGCAGGTATTTGTTTGTTGCAGTGCTGGAGGTGAGGGGGATTTCTCCTCCTAACCCACCTGCCTTTGCTTCAAATCAGCACAGATTTATACAGTAAGCATGGTGTAACATGAACATGGTCACTGCCCCCCATATGCCCACCATGCACCCATCACTATACATGGGCACGGAAATACATGATATCACAGTTTTACAAGTACACATGTGTCACCTCAATTTGGTGGTCACGGGGGTCTCCCTCTAATGAGATATCATTCTCTTTATCACGATGGACTCTTAACCTTTGTTTTCAGGGCATGCGTAGTTGTGATGTTTATGGGTTTTTGCTAGTCCTCCAAGTCGTAATTTCCAATTATTTTGCTGATTGTCCTGTGCTTCTGCCAAGTTCTCATTAGTGCTCTCTACTGTTCTTTGTTATAGCATCTACCTGTCTAATTTCTTCAGAACTTTTCCGATTTATGCTTCTTGGTGATTTCACGTATCTATGTACTAATCCAGCTGGTTAGATTACATGTAGCTGGTATACTACATGCTGCTAATACACTATTAAAAACCTTATAGCAATATATATAAGCTATCATTGATAGTATATTTAAAGTGATTACATTGTATTTTAATAATATATAAAAAAAATTATTACATTATTATATTGATCCCGTATAAAAAGGTTATAGAAAGTTTGCAATTAATAGGCTTCATAAGCACCTTGCCACTTTGATATGGATTATTTGTATCAGACTCCTTGGCCCTCACAGCCCCGGCGGGAACCCCGCGGCCCTCACGGCCCCCACGGGACCCCGCTCCCAAACTCCGTCTCCCACAGCAGCCGGGACTACAACTCCCAAAGGTCCCACAGTGCCCGGGACTACAACTCCCACAGTGCTCGCGGGTGCTTATCGGTTCGCGGCGAAAGGCCTGGAAAGGACCCGGGCTGTATCGGCGGCCTCAGCCGCGGGCCCGCTCTGCCCGGTGAGCGCTGCGGGCGGACGCGGTTCCGTGAGGGGATCCTGAGGGAGCCGGGCCGGCGCGTCTCGCAGCGCGGACTGCGGCGTTGATGTGCGCTTTCTGCCCCGCAGMAGGAAATGGCAGCGCTCGGCAGATCCTGCCAGGGCATCCCGGCGGGCYCGGCCGTGGAGCTCCCCACGGCTCCGGCCGCTGCCCCGGACCGCCTCGGCCCGCAGCCCTTAGCCGGCGGCCACGGCCGTCTCCAGCCACCCGCCATGGTCGTGCCAGGGATCGCAAACGACGGCGTCGGCGCATCCTCCGGCCTCTGTTTGCAGAGCAGCTTCGACCTGGCCTCSCTGGCCGCGCTCGGGAGCCACAACSAGGGGCTGACGGTGGCCCCGGTGAGCTCCTTCACCAGGAGCCGCAGCCGGTGAGTGCCAGACCCGCTCCCGCAGGGCTGGGGCCGGAGCACCGGCAGTGGGAAACTGCGCCGGGTGCTTGGCCAGGCGACTAGAATTTGTTTCCTTCAAACACTGGTAGCGGGTTAGAATTGTATTGTGTTCGTCTAAAAGGAACTTGAAGCTGGCTGGTAGGGGATGAAGAAGCCTTTTAAAACGAAAGAAAGATGATCGAGTGTACCACCATCTTCGCGTACTTTCAAACTCATGTATTATTTGCTTCCATTTATTTTTTTATAAATTTTTATCTTTCTTATATATGAGCACAAAAAATTATTCTATAAAACGTTGTGGTTTGATCTCATTTGAGTATGTCCTGTGATACAGTGTATTAAGAGACTCAAGCTGGATCMTGTGTTGCTTCTTGAAGCATTTGAATTTTACAAAAATTGGTCTTGCCCCATGTGGAAAAATAAATAACATAAAGGAGAAGAAATTAGCATAAGATTCTGTTCAGAGAACAGAGCAATTACAGCTACCTTTAGCTTCCTTTGGAACAAAGTGGTCATTTATTGTCCCAAACTTTTACTCCCTTCRCAACTGGTGATACACTGTGACTGTTGATCTTACYTGCAAGTGGAATTTTGAAAGGGAGGAAAGTATTGTTTGAAAATATCAGTGTCACCAGAAGATATGATTTGAAGCTAAGTAACTGTTTTTCTTTTGTAGTGTCTCTGTGCGATGTGGAAAGAAGCATAAGCTAGAAGAAGAGGCAGAAGGGTAAATTAGTTTGTCTTTTATWGCSTGAAAAATCCTGATTTGCTTTTTGTTTTGTAAAAGATTTGAGCAAGCCTCGCCTGCAATACAAACAGGAAGGAAACCTATCATTGTTTCCATTTGGAACTCTTCCCTTGAATTGCACATGAGCCCGAATTCATTTCTGTTACCTAATGAATTGTGTAGCACTGATTTTCCTGAATAGGTACTCACCTTTTACTAACATGGATTTAGCAACATGGATTTTTTTTCTTTGTTGAATTGCATCGCCATAGTGTGTCAAAGCCGCTGAAATGCGTTCTCTATAACATTTGTTCAAATGTCTGTAACATTTCTTTTTTGACTGTTGTAAACTTGCTTTGTTTCCTAGCTGTCCTGTGCGGAAGAAGAGACTGACAGGAGCCAAAAATTGCCCTTTGAATCCCAACACTGAAGAATGGATTCTYTGTGCAGGTCAGCAGGCAGCTGGGGAGGTAGCAAGTCAGTATGGTGGCAGCGGTCCTGAAACTGCCATGTTAGAAATTCCCTGTGAAGAAATGGATCAGACAATGGGGGAACAGCAATGCGAGGTTGCTCGCAGGAAGCTTCAGGAAATTGAGGACAGGTAAATGCAGGGATTGAGTAGCCTGGCTTTGCTGAGCTTTCCCTTTTTTGGTGGGCATTCAGGGGTAAATATTGCACTTAGCAAGTGTGRTAACACTGCTGTGAGTCTGAGGTGAACCTTCTGTTTTCAACTGATTTCATTTTAGGCTACCTATGGTCCYGTGAGTCTGTAGGCTGATACTGGGATCTGAAATTGAGGGTGCTAGAGCAGGAGATGCTGAGTAAATAAAACCCTGCTCACAATTATTATACAGCATCAATATACCTTTATGGGGTTTAATGCTGTTCTGTGAGCATCCAGAGCTCAAATAYTAACAGTTACCTGCTCAGACTTGAGCTCAGCTTTTTTCAACCAACTGCAACTTCTTTCTGTGATTAATACTTCAAATAGATGTGAATTGGCCAGTGTAGAGAGTAATATCAATGAGAGAGGTCTTTCTGCACATATGCAGTAAGGCTGAGATTTATCTTGCTGGTGGTGTGATATGGGGTAATGGGGTTGCTACAAACAGTCTTCTGAAGTAATTAAATAAATTTACTTTGCATTCTGGCCCTTGAAAGATTCCTGGGAATGGCATGTGTACGTATTAGTTGATTGCAGTTGAGCTGGTATTCCAAAATATCTAAAACGACCACTGCAGATGATTAGAAAAGCCAAAAGGTGTAGAAATTTTAAAACAAGATTTTTTTTTTAGAAGATTACTCCATAGATGGTGCATGAGGAGAAGCAAGGTACTGTTAGACTGTTATTTTTSTCATGGATAAATCAGAGTAGTGATTTTTGTCTCTATTATCTGTCTATGTCTGCTTTGGTCCTCTTGGAGGATTGTTCCTCATTCTTCCCAGCTACTCTGCTAAATTTTCTATAAAAGGTTTACCAAAAACAAAGGAGATGCTTCCGTTTGTTCTAAATACTTCAACAATTTGTGCCAATTTAGTCTCAGAAAATGGCRCAATGTTGTGAAAAGTGAAGCACTGTTTGCAGTACCTTTGCAATAATTCTCAAAGTTCAGTTATGGAGAATTGAGCAGGTGAAGCTACTGCATAGCTGAGACTCACCTGTGTGGTGTGACTGAATGGTACCGTTTCCCCTGAAGGGAATTTGTTCATTTTCTCTCAGTGTATGTCTGCACTGAGAGACATACTGCCTACACTGCTGGGATAACAAAGCTAGCTCAGGTACCAGAAGTGGCATTGCTGCTCAAGTGGCCTTGTGGTAAGAGCTGTTATTGGGGTGTTTTGGCCCAAGAGAGACTCATGTTAACATGGCCCCGCTGCTTCTGGTACCCAGCCTAGGTCAGAGATCTGCACAGAGCAGTGCACGTAGATGTGACTGTAGTCTGTAGTGGATGTGCCTGATAACAGTATGCTCAATAGTGTTTATCTCCCTCTTCCCCCTCCATTCCTAGGATAATTGATGAAGATGAGGAAGTTCATGCTGATGGAAATGTTAGCAATCTGCCCACTCTTATCCTGTCAGATACCCTTAAGAAAGGGATGAAGAGGGATTTTGGTGAAGTCCTGACAAAGAAAATAATAGAGTCTATGTAAGTTCTGGAGGAAATCATGCTACTATGTAGTTAACACATAGAAATGAAAAGAGAGAGCTTGTTTCATGTTTATGGAGATGTCCTTAATTGCTGCATGATGCAGCCAATATTGTCTTAACAGACCATTCATCTGGTTRAAAATAGGAAATACTTCCTAATGTAAAAAGGAAATAAGTGTAACTGTAGTGGTCATCAAGTGTCTGTTTTGTACTCCTCATTTCTACAAAGTGAAATTTCATGAGTGAACCATTATAAGTTTTGTTTTTATGTATATGAATTTTCAAAATGAGGAGATCCTGAAGTGTGACCAGCAGTGGTCAAGTCTGATGCAAAAAAGAGAGAAAACACAGGGCTAAAACTAGAATAATGGAACTAGTTAAGGAAGAGGAAATTTAATAGGGGGGGAAAAGGGTATATATATATTCTGGAATATAGTTCCAGACTAGCTCRAAGGATGAAGATGCTGATCTTCTGCTTTTAATAGCTGTGCTTGGAGAACTTAAATTTTACTGGAACTCCATCCCTTCTAGGAGCCGTCCTTCTATGGAACTGGTGCTTTGGAAACCTCTTCCTGAATTTATGACAGATAAACTGAAGTCTGTTTCTGTTAAGAACTTCAAGCAGCAGAGCACAGAAGGGTGTCAAGCTAAGCAGCCAACACCAAGAGGTCCTTTTGACCCACAGACTGAAACGTTTCCTGGATCACAACAGACTGCCATGTCTCCAGATCCATATGCTAGTTTGGCAATATCTGGATGTGCAGAAGAAGAAATGGAGTTGTAGATGCCAGATTTTAGACTGGAAGTGGTGAGCTTCTGATGCTTATTGTTGGTGGGTTTTGATTATTTTTTTCTGGTTTGATGTGTGAATCTGAAGTTTTATTATTTGTTTTTTGTTTCCTTACTAACAAGGACATGGTTTGGCCAGGAAACACCCTAAGATTTCTGTATTCCACTCTGTTAAATATTCTTACTTTTACTGAAAAGGTAATTCAGAGGCCTTTGGAACAGGGAAGTAGCTTTCCATCTTGCTTAATGGTGAAATATCCTCTTAATTGCCCTTGGTAAAGTATAAAATCCAAATACTGAATGTAATTGTGGCTTAAGCCACACCTTTCTCTTACTGAGCCATTAAGACTGGTGCACATACCATGCTTGGCCATTTAGTTTAATTTGATTTACAAAAGGGTATGTAAAGCAAGAAATACCTTCAAATCTAGGCACAGATAGAAAAGCAATCCCTCTGGTAATACAGCTTTTCACACCATCTTATGTGTTTGGACTCAAATGTAGAAATTATACAATCTGTGGGGTGGTAGGGAAGGAATGTTACAGCTAAGCGTAAGTCTTTCGCTTTGTAGAAAGTAAAGCCAGCGCTTAGAACTTGCAGGATAACTGCTAACTTCAGTCATCTTTGGTTCATTGGCTTCTAAATTTTATTTGTGGCTTTTTGATGTCACCCTCCCCAAATAATGCAAAGTCTGGGGAAGAGTGGTTCTCAGCAAAGAGATTCACATTTTACATTGTGCTGAGATTCTTTGCATGCACGGAGTTGGAAAGTCAGTTGAAGACAGTGTAACTTGATTAAATGAATGGCATCCTTTAATTTGGATAAACATAATAAGTAAATCAGATAACAGGGAGCTGCTTGCTGCCATGAAGAGGGTCAAATGCTTGATTGTCTGTTACTGAGTCCCAGCTTTTGAGACTGCTGGTGTTAGTGGTGAAGTAAAGGAGRTGCCTGTCTTCTTCCTGAGAGAATCTAGACTTAAATTTTAAGCCACAGTATGTGCCAATAATATAGCGTTCCATTGTTTATACAAATGTATGCCAAAASAATKTTTTACCCTGCTCAGGGTGCCAAGRAAAGGAACCCACAATGAGCTATTGCTTGTACCTTTTCTCAATGCACAGTGGTTCCTTKTGTTTAAAGTTCTCTTGCTTGTTTATCTTTTGTTCTTAAGTCCTTGAGCTTTCTCAGAGATGCCTCATGAATCGAGGCTTTTCATAAGAAATTCTTGTCCAAGAATAGGTTGTGTTCAGAGACCTAYGTCCCAATCTGGTTTTGATGCCTTGCTAACATAAAGGAGCAAGTACACAGTCATGCACCTGCTCACACAAGAAAATCTACTTTTCCTTCACACAGCTGATAGATAATCTTTGTGATGATATTCTTTACTGTTGAACAACACATAGCTGAGAGTTAAAAAGTTTAAAATCAARCTTCTCTTTTTGCAGTTATATTTCCTTTTGGTTGTTCAGAAGATACCCCTATTTGTTAAGCCCTGTTTGTCTTGCTGCTTTTGTTGAAAGTTTGTCTGAAATTTTGTTGAAAGTTTCTTGATAAAACATTTCAGAGCTTCATTAAAAAACACTCCAACATTTGATTAGGTATTACTCTGAAAACCAGTATAAACCTGTAGCATTCTGGAAAGTTGATTAAGCTGAAGAACATGTGCAGCCTATCTTGCTAWAATGTCTAGTTTCATTTCAGGGTCTTCTATAAATTTCTTGCATGAACTGTGTAAAATTTCTTACRTATTATTAAGCTGCTGAACGTGCTTAAAACCTACAGCCTTTGATGTGCTCCACTGCTTGAGCAGAACGTAAAGCAACGCAGTTTGGAAAAGGCTGTAGTCACTGCAGGTAGAAAATGTGGTGCCTCCAAGYAACTGGTTTTCAGCTTGCAGGATTATAGTGAAAGGTCAAGGTTGGAAATATTTTAGATGAAAGCTCTAAATGCTAAATAAACTGACAAGAAAGGATGAAAATTTTAAAAATGTGATGAAACCATCTCAGCAACACTAAAATTGCAACAGAAGGTGTAAAAAATGGTAGGAGGCCTAAATACATCAAATGATGCAGTTGTTTTCCTAAAGAGTTGTTTTCTTAAAACTACCAAATTGCCTATCAGAKCTGYAGAATAAGAAATTGTAGATGGCTTTTAAGCATACTTTTTTCCTGCTAAGTTTGTACCAAAGGTTGGCTTTCAGATGTGTCTTTTTTGTCTTACTTCAATGCCAGTAGGGCATCACTGACCTCTTACCTGTCATCTAAAACAAGAATATAGTGGTGGACTATTGACAGAGACCATGAGATGAAGAAAAAAATTGTCTTAAGAATTTTGCGTTGACAGAAAGTTATTTGCATTCATTTTTTCACAATACATTTCTGCCCTTGTGATAGGAGACAGAGGGCTTGAGTTGCTTTAATTGATAGAAGAGTGGTCTAAAGTGTGAACCAAGTGTCAGGAGGTCTGAGCAAGATCCTTGCTACATCAATCACTTGGAGAGGGTGATTGGATGAGATCAAGCTGTGGGTGTTTTAGAGACTTCTGTATTTGTGAGTTTTATTTGTTGTTGTCTTCATTAAGACTTTCATCAATGCTGTTCACAAACAGGATGGCAAATGCAATGCAGTATTAGGAAAAACCTTATTTTGAAATACAGAAGATCTGATTCTGGTCTGCCTTCTCTTGGGACCAAATCACCCTTTGTATGTCAGTTTTCAATAAATTTTCTAAAATATTTTTTAGATGACTGTTTCGTTCCTGATAAAAGTGAAAACCTTGGGAGCCCATGTCCACTCCTYCAACTGAACAGTACTCTCCTGGCTTAAGAATATTTGAATTTAACTGTTATTTTAGGGGCATGCTCCTTTTTTCCTCAACAGTATTCAGCAGGTCAAGGGAAGGCAACAGCATGGTAGAATAACCTGAAACTGCTTGAAAGGAGGAGTTATTTTAAGTCTGTCACAATCCAACAGCCTCTGACAATGCAATAAGGGTACCAAGAGGTGTTGCTATAGTTTGTGTTTTCACATCTTTCACTTCAGAATTAAACTATTCACAACTAAGCAAGTTACGAAAGTTTGAGGAGTTTTAAAACAAATTCAGATTTTAATAAATTTGTTAAAATGTAACACTTTGCTGTTTTACCATCTTCTTCAAGAGATGGTTCAAGAGTTTTTTAAACAGCTGAAGGAAAAAAAATGGGTGTGTGCTAGACTAGTATTGCCACTGCATTTAGGCTGACAGAAAAATAGCATTTCAGATTTTTATTTTAAAAATAACAAAAAGCCCCTATGTTTTCTAGGCAGGGTGAAACATTGACTCACTTGGATTTTCAATCTAAATTTGTATAGTGCACAGCTGTACTCTTTACTTCTTTCCACTATTCAGATAGAATGCTTTATTACAAGCTAGGCTGCTCAAGCTTTTAATCCAAAGCAGTCCTGTCACCTTGAATGTTAGTGACCAAAACATCTTTCCTTCCTCCCCGCCCCAAGTTATTTTTGTCAAAATTGAATGCAAAACATTAAATAGTACCAAAACCAACAGCTGTGCAAACACCTGCAACAGCTCTCTTATTTTCAGTATAAAATTTCAGTTTCTTCTCGCCCTCTCAGTGTTTTTATATTGTGATACAGGAGCAAATGGACGTGTACAATGAGGAGTCCTGCTGTGGTATTTGAAATTAGCTCCTGACAAGTTCATTTCATACTTCAGGATTTCCTGTGTCAAAACAGAATCTGCAACATTTTTCACACCGTGTCTCTCCCACACCCACCTCCCCTCAGACTGAGTTTRGATAGCATTACTGGCCACCAGGGTGACACCACTACCATGGTGAATTTTTGRATAGTCAGACTTCAGACTTCAAGCTCCTACCAGCTGCCTGCCTTATAGAGGCTGAAGGTTTTGCTCGAGTAGCTCTTCATGGCCCTCACACAAACCCCTCTACCACATCCAGTGTCCCCAAAAGGAAACAGCTGAAACATCCAGCTGCAGACACCCTATGAGCACAGATCATCAATGAATTGTGGCAGGATGAGACACCGAGGGACTTAAATTCTGCAAGGCCCACATACTCTCCCCTCCCCACTGAGTTCTAAAGCAAAAAAGGATCAGTGAGCTGCACTGCATTTTAATTGCACCAATACAGTTAAATATTAAATGGAGAAAGCAACTCTACATAGCAAATGGAAAACAAGCATTTAGTAAAGCTTTAAGACTTAGAGACTATAAAGGTTTAGTCCAGGTGTCTATTCATGAATATCCCACTGAAGTTTTTGATGGTAAAATTTTAACTGGAAAACATTACATTTTCACATTTATTTAGAATTAGGAAGTTATTGAGAAACTTTCCTCTCTCCTAAGCCAACACTGATTGTGGGTGGGGAAGCCAAGGCAGGACAGGACATCCTTGGCTTTTTCATACCATCACGCCATCTACTAGCATGGGTAAAAATGAACAATGCTTTTCTGAATGCACTTGATTTTCCACGCAGACACCCTGAAGTGGTAGATGCTGGTATCTTGCCAGGACAGTTATCCAAGGGGTAACACTACCAGGTTAGACACTGATGAGCTGGGGAAAGAGTTCCTTGGCAAAGCTATCCTCCCACGCATGGTCAGCACCAAGCGGGGACGACGTATCACTGAAGGGAGACAGGGATCCTTCATACCCAGAGTCACTACAGCCATCCAACAAGTAGCTCGAGGCTTCAAGGCTATGGCAAGAAGAAAGCAGATGAGAAATGCCCAGTTCAGGCATGAAGCTGTCTACAGGCTCCTTCTTCACAGACACTGGCACCTCAGGGATAGCCTTGTCGTCAGATGAAGAGAGAGGTTCTTTCTCAATTTTCACTAGCATATTGGTTTGGTTGCCCACTTCGACAGGAATCTCCACTACCAGGGGTTTTGTATACACGTGATCAAACCTTATGAGTTCATTAATGGCTTCCAGCTTAGCTGATGGGGACCCCAAAGAGGGAGACAGGGCGCTTGGTATGGAATTTGTTTCTCCAGAGATCTCTTCCTCCAGCTTTTCCAGGCACGTTGACTCTGAACCAGCATATCTGAGAAACATCTCTGGGTCCAGACTGTCCAGAAAGCCCAATAGGAGATCAGACTGCAAAATGAAATACTGTTTTAGAAAGACAGTTTATTACTGTAACAGCCAAACACCAAACGTGCCATCCATTAACCCCCATGTGGAAGTTACAATACACAAATGCCATCACAGTTTTTCTTACCAAGATTACCAAACACACGGTTAAGGCAGTTAGTTATCTTGCAGAATTCACAGAATCTGCCAGRTTGGAAGGGACCACAGTARGTCACATCTGGTCCAACTTCCCTGYTCAAGCAGTCATTCTAGAGCACATGGCACAGRATTGCCATGGTTCTTAACTCTCTCCGGTGAGAGACTCCACACCCTTCTGAGCAATCTATACCAGGGAAGTCATTCTTTGTCCACAGCCTTTTTGGTATGGGTACTGGCAATCCCCAAAGAATTATATATGCATTTGAAATTCACAGCCACTATAAGAAACTCCTTGAGATCTTTTACACCTCAGGTACAAACACCACAGCACCTGCAGGCTACGCAGTGCACAGACCAGAACCTGCCTTAGGCAGACCAGCCCAYGACCAAAGCTGTAGGGGCTGGGTTTTTTCATTTGSATGTTGYTRAACTCCTGCACTCACTGGATACAGYGTAACAGCTGTTCTGAGGCACACATAGGCATTCCCAGACTTGTAAAACAAACCAACTGCAAATGAAAATCATCAAATGCTTTAACATCAAAATGTTGTAAGAATAGTTTTAAATCTACAGTGGTTCTGAATTTCATGGATACTTTGCATAAGACTGGATGCTCACCTCAGAGTCTGAAGAGTCACTGCCATCAGAATCCACGTGGAAATTATCAGAAATGGTGACTGCTGGGCCTGCACCTGCTGCAGAGGAACACGTAGTCTGAGTGCTGCGGACTCAGCGGACCCGGTCACCAATCTAATCTCATCCACCTGGGATTCTTTCACAGCCTGTAGCAAGGAAAAAACTCAGTCACTGCAAATGTTCGGCAGGCAGTACAGTACATAATCCTGAAGATCACAATTTTTCTGCAAAGGATTCTAATGTGAAATTCTCTATTTGCTTGTTCTGTAGGAACCTGAAGGTAAGACCACTTCCAATGTTAACTGAAGTGTCCTTACACCTGCACATTTATTTTGTTTGCCACTTTTAAATGASAGCTGACCCCCTCCACCACAACCCCCGTTCTTCTGAGACACGCCTATGCGACTATAACAGTTTCTAGCTCACTTCTATAACAGAACATACAAAAGCAGATAAACTATCTTGAAAYAGCTTGGAACTCGTCAGCTTTCTATCTCCCACATTACCAGCRGCACCTATTTCGACTCTGTACCTGTTAAGACAGCCTCCATTTGGAGGACAAAGGTATTTCCTGCATATCCCTGCCCACTGTTCCGAGATTACCTCGGGAGCGGGGCAGCTCTGCCCAAAGCGGGGGCGGACGCGCCAGCAGCGCGGCTCACCTGGAACTCGTCACTCTCCTCCTCCGTCTTCAGAGCATCTAAACCCAGGCGGCAGCGGAGTTCCTGGTTTTCCCGCACGAGGTTACACGTCCTTTCCCGTAAAAGCTGATTTTCCCGCAGCAGCTTCTGGTTCTGCAGAGAGCCGTGATGCAGGGAGGCCGCCCCTTACCACCTCCTCCTCCAGCCCTTACCTTCCCCAGCCTCTTACCTCCTCCTCCAGCTCCACCACCTGCTGCTCCAGCTCTGTCATCCGCGCCTTTTTCCTGTCGCGGGCRCTCTGGGCGGCCACGCGGTTCTTCAGTTTCCTGCGGGGCAGGGCGGCCGTCAGCACAGCGAAGAAGCCGCGGCGGGGAGCCACGGCCTTCCCACCGCTGCCCTCCACTCACCTGCGCAACGCCTTCTCCTCCGGGCTCAGATGCGTCAGCCGCTGCCGCTTACGGGCCGGCTGTGTGGTCTCCATCCCCGGGAGGCCGGCGTCGGCTCCTGCCGGCAGGACAACTGAAAGATGCCGGGCAGCCGCGGRGCCGGGAGCTTCGGCTGCTTTGCTGGGGATGAGGAGCAGCCGCGGGGCCGCGGCACCGGGCAGCGCTGCCATGGCGGAAGGCAGCGAGACAGGASGGCAGCACACACACCGCCCGGCGTCACGGCCGTCTGCGCCCCGCGCGGCCCCACCCGGATTTCTACCATCGTGGCTCTCGCTCATTGGCTAGGGGGCGTGACGTCACGGGCAGGGGAGCCCGTGATTGGCCCGAGAGCGCGAGCAAGGAGGGAAGCAAATTGCATCAGACAACGGGGCTGCGGTCCGTGAGGCGCCGGCGCGCGGCGAGGGGCGGGGCTTGCGAAAGGCGGGGGGAGCTGGGACCGTGAGGGGATGTGAGGGACCGTGAGGGGACCGTGAGGGGACCGTGAGGGGATGTGAGGGAGCGTGAGGGGATGTCAGGGGCCGTGAGGGGCCGTGAGGGATCATGAGGGGACGTGAGGGACCGTGAGGGATCCTGAGGGACTGTGAGGGATCCTGAGGGACTGTGAGGGATCCTGAGGGACCGTGAGGGACCGTGTAGGGCCGTGAGGGACCGTGCCCTCCTGCGACAGTGGTGCTGGGCTTAGGGGCGGTAGCTGAACTTGTGCAGTACCTTGAGGATGCACTGAGCCGGGCCTGACGTGGCGATGCAGCTGAAGCGTCTCTCTGACATCCTTTCCGGAGTATGCCACAAGCAGTCACAAGCAGAATCCTGGGGAATACAACAATGGAACTGTAGCAGATGTCATGAGAATGGGCTAAAAATGGGCTGGGAAAAAAAAAAAAAAAAAAAAAAAAAAAAAAAAAAAAAAAAAAAAAAACAAACAAACAGTGAGGTTAGTGATTGATGAATGGAAGTTGCAGGAGGCCGCGCAGAAATCCCTCCGGGATGCAGAGATCCCTCAGCTGGCTGCCCCTAGCCTGTTCTGAGTAGCAGAAGCAGTGCTGTGTGGGGAGTGAAGTGAGCACAACCTTCTGTGGTGTCTGAGRAAGGAAATCACCCTGCCCTGATGGGTTGGTGTCAGATCTGATAAATCTTGGGTTCAGGTAAATAACAGTTTTGTGTGTAGAAAGCCTCGAAATATTCTGCCCATGGGAATGCAGGTGTTCAGCARCCTACCAACAGCAACACAAAGCCATGCAGGGCATGGAGGGTGTTTGAACTATCGACAACTTAGTGCCTGAAGCCCTCCAASTTTCCACTTGTGACAGTTGCCAACGACCTGAACAGTTATGAAATGTTGAAACTTTGGCTCCTCACAATTATTTCTGGAAGCCATTTGTACATTGATTTTAAATTAGTTGAGATGTTAAACACTAAAGGAAAAACATGAGCTTTAGAAGATCAAAGWCACTGGTGTGCTGGTTTGGCATTACTCCAGCACTGGAGTTCTGCCAGGCTTTCATGATACAGAGAACAAACTGCATTTGTRAGCTTGTGTTTGTTCTTTTCTTACGCACTGCAGCATGACATTGAGCTAAGGCTGAAAGTTCATCTTTCTACTTTGACACCTTTGTGAAAAATATGGCAATTTTTCGATAAGCCTTTTAATCTGAGTGCAAAAAAAGCTGTTTGTTCTGGTCCTGCTAAGCCCCTTAGTTGCTGGCCATTGAAAAGTGTCTGCTTCTCTTTTGTGTGTCTCTTCTGGATTTGGACTCATGTTTCTTCTGTAATTCCAATTCCCAATTTGAAGTGTTTCTGTTTTCTACCAAAATGCAGGTTCAGTAAATAACTGCTTCAGTTTTCAGACATCCATTTCAAGTTGCCCTTATTTGCAAGAAAAGTGCTAAACAAGGTGAACAGGGCTGCCTCATGTTGATTTGTGATATTTATAGCTTTACTGGGGAGWTATGATTTATCATAAAGATATCCAGATATCTTAGTATTTTGACTGAAGAAAACCCCTAACTTTCTGTCTGCAGGTGATTTAATTTTCCTATTTATTTTTTTTGAACCAGAGCCCAGGTAAAGCATGTTTCCTTTTGCAACAAACACTTGTGATCATGAATAAACTACAGAAGTGCGGGGACATAYATGCCAGTAGTGGTGCCTGAGCTGCTTCAGAGTGATGTGTAACCAGGCACAAAAGTTGAAGTTGCCCTTGGCACTGGTGGTGTCCATTGTTACTGAATATAATAACGGCATCCATTAGCATGTCTAGTGTTGGCAGTAATAGCTAGCAAAAGAAGGGCATGACACCCTGCATTCTTGTCCTGTAGAATAGTTTTAGTAGTCCTAAGACTATCTGTGGCACAGTTGCTGAGAACATATTTATGCTATGTTACGACCATTAGGATGCATAAAGTCCTTTTTAAAATACATGGTTGAATCACTGGGTAAAAGAGTGTCAAAGAAAAGGTCCATAAAGCTGGTCTTTCACTGTGACTCTCTCTCAGAGGATTTTAACTAAAAGASTTAAAGTTTAATTCTGATTTCCACTTTTTTTTTTTCTTCACTGTTTACGCATTTTGGTCTTTGTATTTTTCCTTTTTTTTCAGTCACTGGATGTAATCCTGTGAAGCGCGTGACTCAAGAATGCTTCTCACCCTGCCTTTCACCCCGCTGAGGGGGTCAGCACTACCACCAAGGATGTGCCAATGAGGATACTGTTGGCTGTCCTGCCAGAAACCACATTAGTTCCTGCTAACATAGCTTTATGTTTTATGTTCCAGGTGGCCAACCCACCAGAGGAAATCATATTGTTTAACGAAGGTGGAGAGGCTTTGCCCTTGTGTAATATCAGATACAAAGAAAGAAATGTGTGTTGAATGTTATCTGTGTATGAAAAAAGGGGGAATAGGGGAGGGAAGTAAAATGGAAGAAGGGGGTGTAGAGAAAAGGTTAACTGGCAATCATCACTGGAGAAAGAGCTTGCTTGCCAAATGTGTGTCTGAAAATACTTGGAAAGTGGCCCGGGCCCCCAAGTTCTTGACAACAGCTGGAGTGTTCCCATACCTGTATCAATAGCTGATTAAATGACAAGGGAACCTGTTTTGCAGCCTAAACCAAGGTTATTCAAAACCTGTAAAGCACACTAATTTTACTTATTCTTAAATTTTGTTATTACATATTGGGATTCAGAAGTGCATCTTTCAGAGTTTTAGTGCTCTCAGTCTTAGGGAATATGCAGAATCTGTATCCTCTGCCTCCTGCATGGAACTGCCACCCTGCCTGCATGCTCTCTGAAGCGACACTGGCTTTGCCTTCTCTTAACACTGCCACAAGCAAGCCCTTCAGAAACGTGATTTTTGCTCAGTTCTCATCCCTTCTCCATTAATACYTAATAAATTATTAAGATTCTGTCTGCTTCATTGGCCTCTGTGATTGTTTCCAGTGCACCCCCAGAGAAGTGTGGAAAAGACATGGTGAGTTCAGCTTTAAACCATGACTCTCCTAACATATGTGTACYTTGCATTGCAGTTCCTTGTCCTCATGTTCCACCCACGTATGTTACTGGTACTTGCTACTACCCAGAAYTGCAAGCAACAGTGGGGTRAGTCTGCCCAAGTTTCATCTTAGATCTTGKTGGTGACATAGTGGAGTCTTACTTTGATCATCTTTATGTTTCAATCCTCAGACCTAGCTGATTTTGTGGCAAGGGARAGATCCCRTCACACYTATACCTCAARTGACTCCTGCTACAACTCTTCTCATACCTTCAGACCTTCTTACTGGAGTTCTATCTGTGTTTTCCCCATAGCAGTGTTCCRGCCACTACAGGCAGCATCATTTGACTCAGGCAGCACGTCTTGTGACAGAGCTCACATGGCCCTGTTGTAGGGTTATCTGCCTCCCCATGCCAGTAGAGTTTGTTCTCCTATCACCACAGTCAATCAAGTCTTGCTTCTGATTCACAAAAGAAGTCTCAGGCAMTGCTATCAGTGTTTCTGGAACAAAAATATTCTGCAAGTTAAGTAGAGGTTAGGCGTTTTTTTCTAGCAGTTGCAATTTTTGCCAATTTWCTAATTTTTCCAGAAAACAGACATGCCTATTAAACAGCAGAAGTGCCAGTATAGAGACAGCTTCCTAATCCCTCTTACGCTGTCACAGATGCTAATTATAAAGGGAAAGTCTGCCTGCTTACATGGCAGTATTTTGAGATAAAGATCTTTTGATTTGATTTATTTTGTCAGACAGAGAAGCAAATTCCTCTTACACATTCAGAGCTTGGAGCAAACAATTTATGGGAATTKAAAAGAAGACAAGATATCCACTCCACAGTAAACAGAAAGGTTGGCAACYCTGTGCTGCCAATTCTGTAAAAGTGAAGTGAATGTTACTGGAAAACTCTGCAAACATTAGTCTGTAAACAGATTTTTATACATAGCCACCAGATGTCCTTGGGAAGGTTTATGCCATTTGCCACTCCCTGAGAGACTCCAGCTGGGAATCAAACACTRTTGGGTCACTTAGCCAGGAAAATGGGCTCAGGTCAGGTGATCTGTTTGGTGGGCACTCCTGATCTCTGCAGGAATCCCACACGTCAAGAGGAGGTTATGGTTGTTTGTTGGCATTCAGGCTTTGCTTCATTGTTCTGGCTTTTGCTTCCAAACAACCTGGCCCGTCCCCTTCCCACACCATTCCTCTGTCTTTGATTCCACTTCCATTGCATGGATTMCCTTTCTCTTTTAAAGGTCTAGCTGTTGGCATCTCTGGTGCTTGGCTGTGGTTTGTCTGATTATAATACCTATGGCCATGTTTAGTCCTACTTTATCTCTTTGGCTTTTCTCTTTCTAGCTTGGTCCCAAGCACAGTGTTTCCCTGCAAAGTTCTCTCACCCTGCTGGCAGCAAAATGTGGAGCATAGAGTTGTGTAGATTATGCAGGATTTGGAAGTTCTGCGAGATGCCACAGGAGCTGTGCACAGAAGGGGTGCTCTGTTCACCTGTGTACATTGATGCACAATTAGCAGTGGTTGTCACACGCAAAAGAAAAAAGGTAAAGATCCTACACTTACTTGAGGTGATGTAGCAAATGCACCATTGGGGGTGATGCTGCAGAATGTGCTTGGACAGTTCAGGAGAGACTGAACTTGCTGTTACGCTGTCCCAGGGGACTGAYAACACTGTTCTGGGTTTTGTGCCTGTGTTTCATATGTTGAGTAAGCTCTCTGAGGAAAACAGCTAACTTGAAACCTTACATAAC